TTTTCTAGAGCCTGTGACAGTAACATTTTGCCATCACGCTGGTTTTAAGCAGAAATAGGTCTCATGACGTTTGTGGGTTTTTGTTTGTGTTTTCTTCATTAGTTTTAAGACTACACAGATAGCTCTTTAGAACTATTAAGATGATTAACTGACATTTCAGAAACAAATTCTATTAATTCAAGTATCAAAAGTATAGGTGCTTGGCCTAGAAACATTTTAGGCCACACAAGTAATCTTTCTCACAAAAGTAATCAGTGGGACTACTCATGCAAACCAAGTTATTCACGTGGTAAATGTCTACAGAATCAGACTACAAATTAGCATTTTAGGGGCATACTGCTGCCTCAATGGATTATTCACAAATACAGAAAGAAAAATGTGAGGAGTTTTCAAACGACTGCTGTAAACTCTTCCTATCCTGACATCTTTTGGATGTTTAACATAGCCTTAGAATGATCATAGCTGGCATCTCAACTGCTAGACATAGAAAAATTATTAGGAAAAGTTATGATTAAAACCAATGTTCCTATCAGCCAAAAAATATTTTTTTCTTAAATGAAAAGGTAATTGCTCTGCTATATAAACAAGTGAAGAATATATTTAGCCCTCCAAACCTGACTACATTGTATTTCTGGAATAAGCAGAACTGTAAGGAAATTTTAGACTTAAGTACCTTATAATAGAACTGGTTCAACAGTCTATAGCAGCTGTCTTCAACCAATTTTTATACTTCCCTCCAGATGACAATAGGCTGTAAAAACACTGGGATATTTTGAGCAGTAGCTGCAACACCACATAAGAAGGTGATCTTGGGGATAACAATTGACTACACTTAAAAAGTAATTTTTAAAGCTGCATCTATTAATAGTGCTAGTTTTCAGAAAGTGGAGATTTTCAGTTTATATTGTTTTCTTAAGAGACTATTTCAAACCATCATAAACATCACACCCAAGATGACAGATTCATAAAGAAAGAAGAAACAAGTATTTAATTTTACATTCTCATAAGGAATCATTTCAACTGGTTTTATCTCCTATAATAAGCAGTAGTCTCTAGAAATTCTTAAATGTTGTGGAAATTCTCCATACCTCGAGCCTTTGTGCCCTCCTGCCATGAAGCATACTGAAACCTACCACTGATACATGACTGTGGCCTATGTAAGAGAGGTTCAGAGCACATAACAGGTCACATCCCAATCCTTTATGAGACCTGCCCTGTACTGCATGGCCATATACTCTTGAGAGGCCCAACTCTTAGGAACATGGACTCATTATATAGGTTACTAGTTAATATAGAAAGTCCTGCAGATGTTAAATACAGGACAGACAAGATCATAATTAATCCAAAAGGTTTTGACACTGCTTCAGAATGTACACAAAGCTACAAGCTGTCCAATTGACTGAAAAATGGGGTGTACATAATGAACTTCAAGGAAGGCTGTTTCAGCAGACAAAGTATCTACACAACACAGACCATGCGATTCAAGATACAGGCTGTGAAGAAAGCCATATGAATGGCAGACTTACTAGCACAGGCAGCGTTGTAACTAACTGATTTGGACCAGAGCTAGCACCCCCTTAAGAGCTGAGCCTTCAGACAAGGCTGACATTATAACTAAATGAACACTGCAGTGTATACCCATTTGACTGAAGACTTTTCAGAGAATCCAACTAAAAGGGTTATAGCAAAATCATCTTCAGCTTCACCAGGGTCCCTCCAGCAACTAAAGTTTCCAACAAACCTAAAACTTAAGCTGCCAGCTTCCATCTTGTTTTCCCTCCCAGTTCTTATGTAGCAGGTACTACCATACGATCATTTCTTGCTAACTGAACACTTGAATTTTTACAGTGGGGCTGCTATAGTAACAATCACTTGTTACAGCAGTATTTATTGTGGTTTTGGTTTCCATTGCATTTCTGTAATTACACTGGTGTGACAAAAATTCCTGTTATGGACCATATTAGGTCTGAATAGCTTTGTGCACACACTACTACATATATCCAGTATATTAGAGATTTGTTGTTGCTTTACTAAACTGTAACAGAAACATTTTTATCCACCTGAGAGGTATACATGGATTTAATCAAATTATATCTTAAGTAGTTCTCTTCTGAAGAGAAGGTTGAGAGATTAATTTTGCAAAGTGCTTCAGGTCTTCACTTCCCACAGAGGGAGTTGAGGATATTCAGCATCTTCCATGATCAGATCTACAAATGAGTATTCATGACAAATAGCTCACTGATCAACCAAACAGTTCCTTGGACATCAGAGTAACTGATCTAAAGAAATTATCTTGTAACTGAAATTTCAACTAAAAAACAAAAAAATCCCAAACCACCACATAACCTGGAGAGATAGTTGGGTTTTCCCCCCCCCCCAAAGAGAAAGTACTGTGAAAGTCTGGTCTTCACATTAAAGACAGTACTGAACTACAGGAAACATTTTAAAATTCAGCCTGTATACACCAGCACAAGATATTCCAACATAAGGAATATTATACATGAACAATCTTATAAATCAAACTGAGTTCATTTAAGTTGTAGTAAGGTTCACTTATATCTTCCACTGGCATGCTAAAAGGACTGCATCAGGTATGCTTTGACAGTAGCTTGGCACATTGCACTTACAGTGGAAATGTGACATCTTACACTTACACACTGGAAAAAAAAAAGCTTTAAAGTGCTTGCTATCTAAATGTATAAAAGAAAATACTTGAAGGAAGTATCCACAAGTTCCCTGAGAAATCGTTTTGAATTTCAGAATCCCGAGGAGATGAATTGGCTGTCAGATAACAATGTGCCTTCATCAGATGGACTTGGCAGTTGTAAACAAGAGGAATTTTCTCAGCTTTTCCTCACAAATATGAAATATTTGCTCTTAGCCAACAGCTGGGGCGGTTTAAAGATATCCTGCATATATATTCAAATTACAAGTCATCCACACACCTAACACTGACTGAATTCCAACAAATTAAAGAAATTCTGACAAGTACTGGAGCAGATGCAAAACAATTCAAGACAAAAGAGAACCTAACTTTTGTCTAAATGACTAAATTTTCAAACGTCATCCTTTGCCTGCTGAAGGGTGAACAAAAAAAAAAATAATCTGTAGAAGTAGCCACAATTATCAGAATTTCTCTTTGGAACTAGTAGTATCTTGCATAACTGGAAAATATCTGTTGCTTTCCAAAGGATTTTACAGTTATATCAAGAAAAAAAAAAAAAAAGAAAAAGAAAAACCTGGCAATGTAATGGCAAAATGTGAACACAGCAGACAAATAAGTTTTAACTACTGAAGTTTCTTTGCCTAGTATTTCAATTCTATACTTCAGAAACCTTACCACTAAATGCCTCAAAATTATGACATAATTTAAAATAATTTTAGAAATATTGTTAATAAATAACACAGCAGGATTTTGCTTTGAGATAATCAAGAAATAAAGCTGACAAACTGTTTTAAAATTTAGCAAGTGTTTGGTCTCTTGGAGTCAAACCACATTCACAGTGAAAGCATGGATCTTTTAATGTTTATTAATGCTTCATGTATGTGTACTTACTTTTGCAATGTGAACTACACTGCTGTTTAATTTTTTAGCTGTACCCTATAAACCAAATTTAGGAATGTGTATATATTATTCCAATATATCCCTCAGCAGGAGAAGCTGTACTAAATTTCTATGCTTTGTACAAAGTTAAAACACATTGTAAAAAAAGCATTGCATTAACTATTTTAATATGACTGAAAAATCTGACTATGCATTTCTAAGAGCAATCAATCTCATTAAAATTTATTCAGAAAATGTTGCACTATATAATAACACTTTCAATTCTTAGGTCAAAAAGTTACTCTGGTTTATTTGAAAAAATGAGGTAGTTATCTCAAGTACATGATATTTCAACTATTACAGAAATATCATAATTACACTGGTGGTTACTAAGTCTCTTGAATAGCTTTGTCTATATGACTGAACCATAATGGTTTGTGGGATTTTTTTGTTTTAAACACACAGCAGCTGTGGATACAGAACATAACTTCAATAAGACAAACAGAATGTCTAGGCCAATTCTGCTTTTCAATGGAGTAAAGCAGAAATACATTTATGAAGTTAATGCAGCAGAAAATGAAAGAGTAAAGACGACCTCAGAGGCAATCTTAAAGAAAAAAGGTGATAATGAAAATGCAGCAACTAACATTTCTAATAACGAAGACACTAGAGTTTGATATAAACATACATTAATACAGTGGCATTCTTGGACATGCCTAGCTCCAAACTGAAATTCTCTCAATCAGCATGTTGCCTTTAAGGAGTCCCAAACTGTACAGTACATTTTAAAAAATATTTTCATTTGAGGAAATGCAACAAAATAAGGCTCGTACTGAAAATTAAGCAACTATTATAAAAAGCTAAACCTGTTTAGGAATTACTCATTTTCTATGTCGTACTGAAACCAAGGTGTTTGCACTTCAACTTCACCAGACAAGATCCTCCCATCCTCACTGCATTCTCTCTCTCCACAGTACTCAGTATTTTTTTTTTTAAAGTCCAAATCCAATTAATTTTTGAAAGCTAACAGTTCATGTTTTTTGTATTATTAAAGCTTTTACAAAGGCTTAGAAAAAGTAGAATTCAATTACTGCTTTCATACTATGTAACAACACTTTGTAACTAGCAGTTAAGGCATTGTATAAAACATCCAACATCTCCAAGACTAACATCTAACACTATACCTCAGACAACAGGCTTTTTTAGGTGCATTCATGCACCTAACAGTCCTTGTGGAAAAGTATTTGATAGTATTCAAGGTATTTCCTACAAGACAATTGCAGTTTACACCTCAAGCTGGCTGCTCATGAAAGCTTCCCCCACTCAAGTCCTATACGTACTGCTTGAGAATCTCTTGTGTCTCAATAAGGATAGTTGTCCAAAGTTTAGAAAAATAACAACAAAAAATTCAGAGGCCCAAGTACCTTCTTATACATTTAGAATTAAAAATACTTACAGTCTCTCCAGTTCTTTTAAATCCTGGAATGCTCCTCTCTCAATAGCACTAATCTTGTTCTCCATGAGCTGACTGAAATACACAAATTTTCATATATATTAAAGGCAACAACATATTAATTAAAACGGTACAACAGTTATTCTTGAGTGACATCCACTACAACCTTCCAGACCCTGTCATCAACACATTACATGGACTCCTATACCCAAAAGAGGAAAAAAATCCTCGGTAAAATAAATAGATATTACATTTGTTCATTTACTTTAAGAGTTCCAATTTAAAAAGTTACACATATGCATATATGCTGTGTGCACACAAGCATATATACCGTTGCTCTTGGGCACGTTTTAAAACTCCAGTTGAACAGTATGAAGGTGATACTAGTCTCACATGAGACCAGCAAAACAAAAACACTGATGTTGGGAAACAACATCAGTGAAAGACTGCAGAGATTGTAACTGTAATAGTATTTGTGTTTTGTAAAAAAATTTAAAATTTCTACAACATGATATTTGCTTCAGAGAGATACAGAAAAGGATTTTAAATAGCCTTAACAAATAAGCTAAGTAAATTCTGCAGGATTTTAAAGTTTGTATTAGTCAGTTTAAAAAAAAAACATCCCCCAAAAATACAGAACAAACACAGAATTAAGAGCTTCATAATGCTTGAAACAAAAGTGTTTACAAAAAAAATAACCCACAAACACAAAACCAAATCATTCCTTCCTCAAATTCACTGTTAAAATGTTTCCTCTTTACCCCAAAAAATGTAGAAAAGCCTAAATCATCACCTGGGACTTGCTCTTAAATTCAGTAAAGGAATAACTTTTTTTTTCTTAATGAATTCCCTTACACTTCAGGTTGAGAGTACCCATTTTCAGTGCCAACTGTAAACTTCCTAACCTTAAACTGAAGTCACCCCAACAGTTTTTCAACCAATTTTAGCAATTAAAACAATCTTACTTGTAAGCTACTTGTAAAATCAAATGCTCAAATTTTGATTAAATTAAAGAGAGATTAAAGAAATTTAAATAAATTATTTTTAAGGCAATTGGTAGTTTATTCATATCAGTGTGTAGCACATGGGGGAGGAGCTGTAAATTGAGATGCAATAGCACAATAGTTAAAAAGTGATAACCCACCCAGTTTATACACTGAAAGATAACTTGTTCAATGGTTTTTATAAGAAAATGTAGCAACAGTCCTAAAAGGTATCAGTGATAGAGGAAAACTTACAGAACTCGAAGGTGCCTTAGACCAGCAAAGTCAGTCTTGGTGATTCTTGTGATGTTATTTCCGTTAAGATCCCTAAGAAGAATAATTTACAAGCAGCAAAATTAAAACATTCCAACGTTAGTTTTAAATGGTTCTGTTTCCGTGGGCACAGCATTTTCAGAAATTAGGAGATGTAAACGAACCCAATGATCAATTCCTACAACGTCATGTGAGTTCCTGATTTCTAAGTGACTGAACGAAGGTTTATCTTGAAAGCAGAAGTTTCAAACTTTGTAATAAGAGACCCTTACGAAGTTAGTTTTGCCTGCCATTATAAAGCTCCAATCTGTGTTTAACAATACCGAAGAGTCAAAACCTGTCTGAACATTGCTATAACTGCATTTAGAAAACCACTAAAGCTACTATATAGATAATCTACAGTATTTGATTTTTATAAAGACTACATAAGTAACTGAAATCAAGGCCATTTTCACCATTTTTAAGCAGCTCTCAGCTTTCATAGTACTCCTACAAAGGCAGAATAGAGTTTAACTTCCTGTAGCCAACATTAGCTTTCAAACAAACATAAGACTGCTGGAAGGTAAGTGATGGGAAACATTTTATGAAAACTAAACTCTTCACTTACTGCACAGGAAGCTATACTGACTGCAGAATGCAAACCATGTTCAAAAGCAACAGAAAACTGTATTTAGGCCCTAACACTTCTGTTACGCTTCAGCACTACTTTCTGTTCTAGAGTTATATGCCCCTTTTTCATAGCGTTTTGGGGTCAAGATATAAGCTTCCATCAATTCCAATCACCACAAATAAAACCAGACTTTGCAATTCCTGAGGTATGCCATTAGGAAGTGGTATTACATGGAAACTATCCTTACAATTACAGCTCATTCCCAATGTATCTAGGAAAAAAATAATTTTTTTTTGGTGTTTATACCACATGTGGCCAAGACACCACTGTAAAGAAACCACACAAGTCTCAGCAAAAACGCGTCCCTGATACTTCCTGAGTGAAACTCATCAGTCCAGACGTGTGCTCATAGGCCAACATTTAAACGACTTACTAGAGAGTAAAAACCAACGTGCTCACCTCTTCCACTCCTTAGACCCTTCTGACAGGCAGCCTGATACGATAAATAACCGACCACATCCTTGCTCTCTCTCAAGACTGGAAAATACCCTGGCCAGGGGGTACGCGAATGGTCTCAAAAAGCGGATGGGGGGAGGGATCACAGGGCACAACTTAGCGGCGCGTGAGTGGGAAAGGCTAGCAGAGCCCAGCGTGCCCTCGCCCAAAGGCAGATGCGCGCCCGCCCCGGGGCTGAGCCCCGCCGGGCTCCAGCTCCACGCCAGGACAGCGGGCGGCTGCGCGCCCCCG